GACTGATGCTGAACAGCTGGAACATGTGACTGATGCTGAACAGCTGGGACATGTGACTGATGCTGAACAGCTGGAACATGTGACTGATGCTGAACAGCTGGAACATGTGACTGATGCTGAACAGTTGGGACATGTGACTGATGCTGAACAGTTGGGACATGTGACTGATGCTGAACAGCTGGAACATGTGACTGATGCTGAACACCTGGGACATGTGACTGATGCTGAACAGTTGGGACATGTGACTGATGCTGAACAGTTGGGACATGTGACTGATGCTGAACAGCTGGAACATGTGACTGATGCTGAACAGCTGGAACATGTGACTGATGCTGAACAGTTGGGACCTGTGACTGATGCTGAACAGCTGGGACATGTGACTGATGCTGAACAGCTGGAACATGTGACTGATGCTGAACAGCTGGGACATGTGACTGATGCTGAACAGCTCGAACATGTGACTGATGTTGAACAGCTGGAACATGTGACTGATGTTGAACAGCTGGAACATGTGACTGATGTTGAACAGCTGGGACCTGTGACTGATGCTGAACAGCTGGAACATGTGACTGACGCTGAACAGCTGGGACATGTGACTGATGTTGAACAGCTGGGACATGTGACTGATGTTGAACAGCTGGGACATGTGACTGATGTGTCTCTGTTTCCCTCCTGCAGCTTTTCAAGCAGCACAGCGAAGACGTTCACGAGTACAAAGTGAGGAACGGTCTCCAGTGAGCTGGGACGATGCCAGGTGAGGACCTGCTGCTCTCAATCACAAACGCTGCATCGTCTTCTGAACCAAAGAGCAGCAGAGAAATGCACAGAACAGGAAGCTAAAACCGACCCACCAAAGTAAAAGTTATCTTTGGGTCAAAAACATTTCAGATGTAATTTTAGGTTTTAGCTGAGTCCAGCCCACAGGGACGCTCATCATGTTCCAGCCTCAGCTTCCTGTCAGAAGTCTAGTTTTTATTCTTCTCTAGTTTAGTTTAGTTTCAGTATGAGGTTGAAGAAGCAGGACTCATACTTCACTTCTCTTTACTGTAAACAAATGATTTCACAGACGTCCCCCTGCTGTCCAGGTCACAACTTCAGTCTGTCCATGTTTGTCAACAGGCGTGTCCAGCTGTGGTCCTTGCGAGCCACCACCCTGCATGTTTTAGATGTGATTCAGTGATTGAGTCACTGCTTCATGTTCTGCTGAAGCTCGTGAATCACCTGTTGATTCAAACCAGATGTGTTGGAGTAGAAGAACATGCAGGACGGTGGCCCTCCAGGACCAGGACCGGACACCCTGAAGGCCAGACTGGACCAGGTATGTACTTGGTACTTACAGGAAACAGACCCGGAACTAACCTGTTTTGTACTCCGGACATAGCTGGTACTTACAAAGTACCTGATAAGTACCAGGCTGTACTATGCCCTTCTTCTGTGTACTGCTTCAAAATGCTTTGTAGATTATTAATCCCACTTAAGTATAATCTAAACTGTGAATTATTGCCACAAAAATTGAAGATGAAATTTGTCAAATCCAAGTTGTCACTGACAGATCCTTTGACCTGGACTGTAAAAGTATTCACCCCCCACCCCCCAGATGTTTTATGCCTTTATTGCTGTCATAAAACGTCAGATTTCTACTGTTAGCAATTTATTAAAAATATTTCATGTAAAAGAGGTTACTGCATAAATATTCACCCCTTTAAAGTGACTGTCCTAACAACTCAGAGAAACGATTATTGAAAACACAAGTGAGCTCTTAAATCCATCATCGCAGGGTGGAAGGAGTATTCGGTTCAATTCAAAAAACTTTATTAATCCCAAAGGGAAATTAATTGTTGTAACTCATCATCCTGGTTTCATTAGAGTTGTTATAGATGCTGATGGCTTTAGGCAGGAAGGATGTCTTTTAGCCGTAGATGCCGATTGGTCCACCCAGACCCAGCAGACTGGCCACCTGAATGCCCAGCAGAACTCCTCCCCGAGCGATGGCCCGTTTTCCCAGCAGCCTGCCGAGCCTCTCGTCACCGTGGATTTAACTGCAGGCGCCGGGGGATGATCTCGGTCCTCCTGCTGTCACAAGCCATGTTTCCCGCTACCTCCGAGATCTCGGCAGTCATGCACTCGAGCACTGCCTCCAGGTAGATGGGAATGCATCCACAACACCTCCTTTTCAACTCATTTGGGATTTGGGGTTGTAGCTGAGGTGTTATTTGAGCTTTTGAGATGTTAATCAGCAGCTCCCAGTTGTAGAAAACCACTTTGTTGTCATGGTTACACATCATAACAAATGTCCAAAAGTTAAAAAGGTTTCAGTAAAAATCCTTCCAGCTGCACAGCATCCAAAATCAGAGGAAATAATCATCTGAAAAAAGCGATTTACATCCAGAAAAAAAGAGTAATTAAAGTTTTCAAAAGCAAAATCTCAGAATGAACAAGAGAGCTACTCCAACATGCAGCCACCCTGAGCGGCGCAGTTCTGGAGTATGGAACATGTGTAAATCTACCAAGAGCAGGTGGTCTTTACCAACTGAGTGACCGTGGAAAAATAAGAACAATGAGAGACCACCAAGACATGTGAGAGCTCTGAATGAGCTACAAGCTTCAGCAGGTGGAGACACTCTGCGTACACCAACTGTTGCTCCAGTTATTTACCCGTCTAAGCTTCGTGGCAGAGTGGCAAAGAGACATGGTCGAACGAGTTGTGGTGTTAGATTAGACAGAACTTTATTCTTCCCTGAAAAATAATAATGCTTGTAATAATCTAGGAGATTAACTCACAAACCTTATTACAGTAAATGAATATTTATGCAGTCACTCCTTTCATCACACATTTATTTTTAATTAGTATAACTGTGTAGACATTTCACTTTGACATTTAAGTTTTTTTGTTTTTTTTTGTAAAGATCATTCATGGTCCTCAGTGGAACAGGGTGGATTGTTGTCCAGGTCAAGGCTGAGGTTCTGCCTCAAGTGGAGGAGTTCAAGTATCTTGTGGTGGTGGTGGTGGTGGTGGTGGGGGGGGGGGCTGTGTCTGAGTATTGGGTTTGGTTCTGGGTTCTGATTATTGCATTTATGATTCAATGCAACAAAACCAAATGTAAAAGGTCACAGATCATAGTAAAACTGGTTTTATTTACAGAATGACTTCAGTTGCTGGATGTCCGGCCCCGAGCAGTTTAGTTGAAGAGCTCTGGTGTAAACCATCAGATCAGTGGGAGCTGGCTTGTGTGCATGTAATGGTTGTGTGTTTCTGTGTTGCAGGACGTCTTCAGATCTTCTCTGCTGGACGGTTCTGGTTCCTCTGCTCTCTCCCCCTGAACTCTGTAAATTAAAATAAATGACTTGAAAACATCCGAGTCATGAATAGTTTGTTCATGGATTCACAGTTTGAGTGTCAGCCTCACGGACAGAAACTCTGCCTATATTCTATTTTTAGATACTCTAGGAACCGCAAGTAAACCTTTAGTCTTTGTTTGGAAAATATGAAACATTAAAATCTTTAATGTAAGATGGAGCTTGTCTCTTAGACGTCAGGTTTTATATTTTGATGGTTAAGAGAGGGAGAGAAGCTACAACTGGAGAAGTATGATCCTCCAGCAGCAGCATCTTGGATCAGTTGTTCTGAAAGTTGTTTGGGTGGGGGGGGGAGACTGTTCAGTGATTTGTAGACATACAGGAGTATTTATAACTGGATTCGAAGGTGAACTGGTATCCAGTGCAGTGAGGCCAAAACTGAAGTAATATGCTCTCGTTTGCCTGTACTGGTTAAAAATTGGGCTGCTGCATTCTGGACCAGTTGTAGTCGTGCAATGGAGGTCTGACTGATACCAAACAGGAGCAAATTGCAGTAATCAAGCCTAGATGTAATGAATGCATGTATTACTGTCTCCAGGTTCTTTTTGGACAATATGGGCTTCAGTTTAGACAGCCGCCTCAGTTGGAAGAAACATGACTTAACGATCATCATGTTTACATGATTGTTAAGTTTCAGGGAAGGGTCCATTATCACTCCCAGATTAGTGACTCTTTGTTTTTCTGACAGGGTTAGAGTGGAAAGGTCGATGCAGTGGTTTGTGGTTGTGTCGTTGGGAGGGAACAACATGACTTCAGACTTGTTTTCATTGACACTTAAGAAATTTAAAACCATCCAGTCCCTGATGTCAGCCAGGCAGTCGAGCAGAGGTTGAATAGAGCATGTACCATTGTGTCTTAGGGGGAAGTAAATTTGACAGTCATCGGCGTAGAAGTGAAAGGGAATGTTGTGTTTCCGGAAAATAGCACCAAGTGGCAGCAGGTATAAAGAGAATAGGAGGGGACCCAGGATGGACCCCTGCAGAACCCCCCATTTAAGCTCTGCCGCTGCAGAACTAAAATCCTTGATGGAGACACAAATGGATCTGTCAGCGAGGTAAGATCTGAACCAATTGAGGGCTGATCCTGTGACGCCCACCCACTGCTCTAACCTAGCAAGGAGGATCTCTTGGTCGATGGTGTCAAAGGCGGCTGTGAGGTCCAACAGGACAAGCAGCACAGAATCACCGGTATCTGTGGATCTGAAGATGTCATTAAAAACCTTTGAATGCTTTAGTATTTCTTGTTTGTTTGTTCATTGTGTTAGTGAGTCTAATCAGTTCTTCTCATCCTGAATATTTTATTATACTGTTAATCTTGTGTTAACCTGCATATGACAAATAAACATAAACTGAATTAAGCATTAACCTTTAATTTAACCGTTCAGCATACAATGTAATTATGACAGAAAATGGAGGATTTACCTGCAGTTACTTTCGTAGAGATGAACATGTGGTAGCTACTTCCTGTTTATAACTTGTGATCTTCTGATGGTGTCGGTCTCCGGCTTTTTACATGTTTTCCAAACTCCGTTTACTTTTTGAAAAATAATAAACTGTATCCCACCCTCTAAATGCCCAGGGTAACACGTGTCTGAATTACCTGTTCTCCACTGACACCGTTTAACCATTTTGTTCTGGTGATTTTTCACAAACCCCTCTGACTAAAGCGTCCTGGCTGCAGGTAAGGGGCGTTTACCTTCGGACAAATTGAGGTTACCGATTGGTCATTTATTGACACGGCTACTGGATTGATCGACAGGTCGCGCAGCGAAGCCGACTTGTGGAAAAAAAAAATAAATAAAACAGAGCTGCAGCCCTGCTGAGGAGGCGGGGCGGCCCAGGAGCAGCGGCAGCGTGTTCTGTGTTTATGTAGATGAACAGATGCTCAGATATATTCATCATTTAACACGGATTCCTCATTTTTCTGGACTGAATAAAACGTGCATTGAATTTAAGGAAATGCAAACGTGAGACGTCATTTATATTTGACCCATCAAAATGAATGCGGTCATTTATTTACAGAATCAAAATTTAACATCAAACATTTACATTAATTTGGCAAATTATGAAAATAACAACATAAGCAATCAATCAGGAAAAATCATACGGCCATGATTTTTCCGTTGCTTCACCACAGACATTTATGAAACTGTACAATTATGATCTTTTACCCACACGGATGTGGATGAGCACTTTACACAGACATTTCTAAATATCTGGAAGAATTTCTACTTGAGAGAAAAGTTTCAAGATGGGAAAGAAGTTAAAGAAGAGTAAAAGATGGGGTTTGAGGGAGTGTGTTAACAGAACGGCACTCTCTGGGCTTTCTTCAGCTTTTCTTACGGTACACTTCGGTGGTGAAATCGACTCTTTTACCTGGAGCTGTCTCAGGCGAGATTCCGTTTAACGCACCCTTCAGCGTCTCCGTAGGATGCTGTTACTCCTCCGGAGTAGCGGCGAGACTGTCCGACACAAGCTCACCTCAGTGGAAAATGTTATAATCCCATGAACCTCGGAAGAGCTCTGTTGTCATGTCAGGATCTTCCCATCTCCATCAGAACTATCCCAGAACTTCTCCAGAGCTTCTACAGAACTTCCAACAGAACCTCTAACAGAACTTCTAACATAACTTCTAACAGATCTTCTAACAGAACTTCTAACAGAACTTCTAACAGAACTTCTAACAGAACTGAGTAGACCAGGAAGTACCGACAATTTAAAGAGCTCTTTTTTCCGGTTCATACGGGAGTCTCCCATTGGCCAGAAACAACCAGACGGGGTGTGTTTTGTGACGTAAGAGGTTAGAAGACAGCAAGAATTGTTATGAAACGATCAGAAATGTTCTCACAGACAGAGAGAGTTTTGTTTTGGCGCGTTTCAGAAACAGGTGCCAAAAACCTCTATATTTACGTCTGAGAGGATTCTAAAAACATGATAGTTCGTTCCAACAACTTGTTTTGCATTTGACTCCAACCTTGGACCAACTTACACTTGCTCATTCAAAGGCAGAAATCAGAAAATGCATAAAAATCTGTAACAGACCTCAACATGAATTCTAACTTTGCATGAGAAAAATCATTACACAGTTAATAAAATTGATTAGTTCACTGCAACATCTAAAATGGTTTGAACTAAGACATTTTGATTATCAACATTTGTAAAACAGTAATGATAATAAAAAAGAGAGTGTTCTTTCACATGAATCTTCAAGAGAGAAAGTCTCAGGATGGGTGAACCTGCATTTCTGGATTCAAATCAATGAAATGACAGTTCCTGTCCCACAAGGTTCTTAAGGTCAAGGGATTTGACCTTAGACTTAGTTTTTGACATGGGCCTAGTCCACTACAGTCCCCCCTTTGGAAATCATCTCCTGTCCATGGGGATGAATTCCAACTATGGACTTACGCCTTCGATTGTCCTTGAAGCTTGATGTAATCCAGCAAAGAAACAAGAGTCAAGAGTAATCCAGCAAGGAAAACAGAAGTCAAAAGTAATCCAGCAAGGAAAACAAAAGTCAAGGTAATTCCACAATGTTCTCGGTAATTCCATTGTGTTGATTATAATCCCACATCGTCTCGATAATTCCATTGTAGCAATGCTTTAACCCCTTGAAAACAGAGTCTGTAATCCACTGGAAAAAGTCATATAATCCACAATGGTAAATCCACAACGATTGGAAGTGTTGATTAATCAGCATACAGAGGGGTACCCTTGGGTTGAATTGAAGAAGCGGCCACTAGATGAAGAGTGGAGACCAACGTCAGGATTGCAGGTCGCCTCCAGCGAAGGTTGTCTCCAGCGACGTCCAGCCTGTGTCGTTCTGGTTCAAATGTGTCATGCAATTATGTGGTTTAAGGTGGGCTTATGAAGGTGATTTTACATAAGGCCTTAAACTATATGCACCTGGTGTGTAAGCTATTATGGATGGGAACAGCTACAACTACCAGTTAAGGGGTGGAGCATGCTGAAAAGGGGTAACTACAGGGGTTTAAGCCTATAGAAAAGGGTTCCAAACTACTTTTCCATTTCTAACTTGGGTTAAGTTAGCTTTACATGGCAAAATATAGTTTGGTTCAAATGTCTGTTGTCTTTTAGACGAACGACTTGAGATTGGGTGTTTGGTTTCCCCATAAACGTTTTTGGAAGTCTATGGCGAGACTTATCAAAAAGAATTAGCTATCCCCCCGAATAGAATTGTTCGAGTAGGTTCGGCTTAAGCGTTGTGAGCTCAATGTAGATTATGGTACTCAAGGTAGCAATAATATACATTGACTCCGCAAAGATTGCAATTTAGCGAATGAACTGCATGTTGGCATGGTTAAAGGCCTCTTAGTCTCTAACTTAACTTACACACAAGATACATTCTTACCACAGAAACAACCAAAACCAATTCAACAACGTTTCAACACCGACAAGAGTAGTGACTAAGCATCTAGAAACATCGTTTCACTGCTTCCCCTCACCCTGGTTGTCAGTTTCAGTCACGCTGTCCCGTGTGAGTGGCTTCTTTGCGGACCCGCTTACGCGAGGCATAATCATATCGAGGTGCGCTGCATGGCGATCCACGTCGACTCGGAGTGACGTTTGGCCCCGGAACAGGGATGCGAGTATCCCACACAATACGAGGGTTATCGTCATTAGCAGGGCTATGATTAATGTGTCCGCGCTCGACCACGCATAGGTAATTGGTTGGATCGGGTTCTTAATTGTGGACCTGAGAGACTTGAGAACTCGGTTTATTGGTTCCACGTCGACGACTTGGGTGCCTTCAAAACGGATCCTTCCCAGAGTCTCTGGATCTATGTCTATAGACATATTTCCCAGGTACTCTGAGTCATCCAGAGTCGCGTCCCATCGTTCCGGATCGAGGTGATAGAGCGTCAAATCACCAATGTGTATGGTTGTTCCCTGGGGAACACTGATCCACATCGTTTTGTCCGGTAACGTCAAAGGTCTATTTGCCCCGGGTTGGTCGTAGGCTATGATCGCCTTTCTTTG